AGTGAGGTGGAGTGAGGGGGCTATATTTTCTGAAATCTCGAAGTATCTGCCGGCAAAGAGAACTCCCCCCTTTCGACAACGCCCCTGCACCACCCCAAAGATTCTTCCTTGATTTTTCCTCTTTCTCTGCCTTTTTTTCTCGTATTTATGTTGCTCTCGTGGAAAGGAGAGCCCGGAGGGTACACAAGGGCTGACCAGGGGCGGCTGAAAGGAGGGCTCCCGAGTTGCCCAGCGGGGAGGGGGGGTGGAGACCGGTGGGCGGTGAAGACGTCGTCGTTGTCGTTGCCTTTCTTTCACTTTGTGTGGCAGCCAGCCAAGCACTCAGCATAATTTTGCACGCTCTTTTTCTCCTACGTTTTTCGCTGATTATTTTCTGCAGACCCCAAAACGGGTGACTGTCGCAGGACAGGCGGTGGAGGCGGGAAGTGGCGGTTCCGACCTGCACGTGGAAAGGTGTCTGCTTTAGACCCAAACCATCCACAACAAAAAAGCAGCCAGCAAAGTTCATCGTTTACTGCTGCTGCTTTTGGCTTTATACATTTTTTTTAAGGTTTTTGTCAGTGCTTTCTGTGTACCCTATAATTGTTTTTTGATATAAGTTAACAACAAATAACTTTTTATTAATATTTTTCAATACAAATCATCATCATCAAGTCAATCATTAGGCTTTAAAAATCTTTACTTGCTGACCTTTACAAAATGTTATTGATTCGAATTCCTCGCAAATTGCGAATACAGATTTAAAAACCTTTTTATGATCTTCATTTAAATATATAAATTTTTAAAACTTAAGTTTACAATAATAAAGCAAATTTGCAAACAATATAAATAGGCTTTTTTATCTTACTCTAAAGACATTGTAGTATATCTAACTTAACTTTGTACGATCCTTGCATATTTTCTTATTAGTTGTTGGATTTCAACTCAATATTTTGTGTGATAATGGAGTATCTCCCCTAATTCTCCTTCTAATTCAAGATATATTTGCAAAAGAGTTGCTATATTTAATAATTCCCTTTCAAATTGGACTCGTTTTTCGCCCCTGCACCGTGTAATCGCCTGTGTAAGTGTATTCCGAGCTTCGCCCTTCAGCTTTTCAGTTTTTTTTTAATGTATTTTCTTTGGCTTTGCCTTTGCACGCATTTTACTAGCATTCGGTTTTCCGCCCAGCCACCCTCCAGCAACAGCAACAACAAGCAAGTAGCAGCAAAACAACAGTTACAACAGCAGTTGACGATGATGCTCTGTCTCTGTCGCACGGCATATGGCCCTCTCTTTCGCTCGCTCACAAATGCGCAACATATTTGCCGACTGACCGACGCAGCGACAAACAGACACTTCTACCTCCCCCTGGCCACCCACTTTCCCACCTCACTTCCACCCCGGTTTCCATCTCCACTTCCCCACTTTCCACCTTGTCCTCCCCCCCCTTTCCACCCAACATCCCCTCCCACCCTTCCTTTTTTTTGCTATCGTCTGCTGCTTTGCTATTTCTCTTTTTTTCACTACTATTTTCACGCTGCTGCTGCTGCTGATGCAGTCGCTGTTGCTGTTGCTGCTGCTGCTGCAGCGCTGGCTACATAATTGATTTTAGTGCTGCACTCTCCAAATGCGTTGCATTCTGCTGCAGCTCTGCCTCAGCCGGCGTTGCTGCTCCCGTTGGCAGTTACTTTTAGTGTAATCTCAACATTTGCTGCTGTTGTTGCTGCTGCTCATGTTGTTGCTGCAAGTGTCGTTGTTGCTGTTGGCTTTGGTGTTGCTGTTCCTGCTGCTGCTGCTGCTGCTGTCTTTGGTGTTGCTGTTGCTAATGTTGTTGTTGCTTCTGCTGCTGTGAGTTCTTCTTCCAGCAGCAACATCAACTTCCTAACTCCCCCTCGGGACAATAACCACCCCGCCCCCTCTTTCGATCCAACAACTGGCAGCGCTTTCGTCGCTCGCTTTTGTTGTTGGTCCTGGTTTGGGTTTTTGGTTTTTGTGAAAACCAGATTTTTGTCGTTTTATGCATTAAATTGTTTTTACAGCCGCTTTTGGCAGCAAGAACAGGGTGATTCGTAAGCAAGTTGCAGTGACAACAAGGTGGGTGACAGTTTAAGATTTATGGGATTTTAATATTAAATACTAAATGTTTTGATTACTTTAGGGAATTCTATATAATATTTAATGATTAAAAAATATAAAAACAAAACATTTTTATTATATATTTTATGGTATAAAAACGAAAGAAATCCTTAACCCTTTAACCAACCAACCATTCATAAAATATTATATTTTGTTAATAGAAGAAAAATCCCTTTTTCAATTAATTTTCCATAGACATACCTTGTGGTTAACCTTTCGCCTTACCATTAGCTAATAGTCCTGCCCACCCCCACACATCCTAAGACACCCTGTATACTCAGTGCTCTGGTCTCCGTCGCCGTCACAGCAAAAGTAACAGGAATAGGAACAGGCACAGGAACCAACACACAACACACACACTCGAACTGGGTTTGAGAGGGGGGGCGGCATTGTGAGGGGGAGGAACGACGAAACAAGCCAACAACCAACGCATTTACACAGATACAGATGCGGATACAGATACAGATACCGGCAGGATGAGGGAAATGCAGGGAAAGGAGGGCAGTTCGGGGCAAACAGGGCGCGGGGGAAAAGGGCAGAGGACAGGCAACCGGGTACCGAGCGACAAACAGACCCATTGTCCCTCCCTCGCCCTCGGCGTCAGCAACAACCACACTGCGAACAACGGCAGCAACATCGGCACATCAGCAACATCAGCACAGCAGCAACAGCAAGCGATGACGATGACGACGGCCTACAACGCTGTACACTTCCTTTTACACACTAAGCGAACGCACACTCATAAACACAGTGATACCTCGAATATGGGATATTTAAGAACCAGAACCAAAAGAATAGTGTAAGGCTTATCTAAAAAAAAGGACCTAACCCAAGATAATATATCTTAAAAATAATAGAAAAAACGATTTTACAAAGTAATTTCCGAAAACACCAGATAAAAACTAAAAATATAAAAAACGATTCTTATCCAGTCCAAATGCGATAAAGTCTATTCGATATCTCAAAATGCAAGACCCAGAATACTAACGAGTGACCACTGTACAATCACACAGGGATTTTAGCCACTCGTGTGTGAGTGTGAGGCCTGAACTCAAACCAAAACTCAAACCTAAACCCAAATACAAGCCCATAAGCATAACCCAATGAAGCAGCCTCTGCCAACATACCAACATCATCATTACTTCCATCATGATCATCGTCATCGCACAACTGCCGGCGATTGTTGTTGCTTAGCACTCGAGCCAGAAAAAAGGACTTCCTTTCGCCCAGGACCTCGCTGTCCCTCTCGCTCACTCTACTGGACGTTTCATGGGAATTATGACAAGGACTGCCAAAAATCGAGGCAGAACATGTTAAATAAAATAAAACATAATTTTATGCCAGAGAGCAACAAACACATTAACACGGTCGTCGCTGCGCTGTCGGCGTAGGTTGTAGCGCAGTCGTCGTCAACGTCAACGTCGTCGTCGACGTCGACGTCATCAATAAATCGCGACCCCAACGAACCACCCACAAAAAACACCCAACCGCCCAACCACCCACTGGAACCACCTCCGTATGCCCCACTCCCCAAATATTGTATGCCCACCTCAAACATTATACAAAAGCTTACAAGCCACGCATACAAACGAACTCCGTTCGCTCTCTCTCTTTCACTTCGGCTCATCCCGTCCCTTTCACGCCGCCTATTGCCCTCTCATTCTGGCTCTCTCGTGCTGTGCTCGTTTGTGTTTTGAAAATTTAATCTCGATATGGCAACAAATATGCTACAATTTCATTGAGATGAACACCCGATACCAGAAAGCCGACGAGAGTTTCTCACGCTGTGCCAAAGCAGCGTCGTCGACGGCGAAAGAGATGGGTATATCCAAAGCGAAAGAGATGGCATGCGATTGAGAGAGCGCGAGCCCAGAAGCGTAGTAAATACACTACTACATTTTTCTGTGCTAATTGAGTGATAAATTGGGAGTGGATTTCGAGAGAGAGAGAGAGAGAGTAGAGTGTGTGTACGAGAGTTCGAGTGTGTTTGCGTGTGTGGGCAATTGATATGCTCAGATTAAATTGTTAAATGTTTTTTATTCGGGTAATTAAAGTATTTCAATTTTGCGGCCTAGGCGATAAAGAGTTGGCAATTTATTAGTCTGTTTGATATTATTTTTCTAGCTAATTTGCTAGATAAAATGAGTTCTATTTTTAGTTCTTCTTATTATTATTATTAATTTGTTTATAAAAACAAATAAATATTTACTTATATTATGCTGTATGTTGGTAATAAAGAATATATGTCTTTGGCCCTGCTGACATTTAAAAAACAATTAATCCCGCTGGCGCTGCACACGCCGTAAATCATTCAAAAATCAACCACAAATCACAACAATTAAGACAAATGTGCTGAAAAATCTACTTAACGCAAACACTCACACACACGCACACACGCTAGCCATTAAACGCTTTCAAAACAAACCCAATAAATGTCAGCTGCCCCGAAAAGGTAGCAGAAAACGTACGCTTTTGTGCGAGAGAGCATGCTACGAAAGCCCGAGAGAACGCATTCAAAAAACGTAGCAGAAAAAGGCAGCAGAAATACTACTAGTATATTCCTTTTTTTTTTCGTATGTAAGAGGGGCCCGCGAGGCGAAGAAGTCAAACAAATTGACATACGTATACATAATTATTATTTTACTTAAGTGCTCGCGCGTCGTCGCCCCTTAACAGACCGAAATGAATACGAAATACGAAATACCAACTACCAACCTGAAATAAATCAACCCGAGAGAGCGTACTGTACCGCTTCGGGTCCGTTCGTCTCGACATACGGCGCTCGACTCTCGTCGCTCTTCGTTTCGGCACTCGGCGCTCGGCTCTCGGCATTCGATTGCATCTGTGTGGGTGAGCAACCGAAGTAGCCGCCGATGGCAGCTGCATAGCATGCCGCTCAGCTCAGTTGGTCGCCGGACGTCAGCTCAGCTGCCAACTGCCAACTTCATTCAGTTCCTTTCGAACGTTGCGCCAAAGCGGCCGAAGAAAAGTTCAGCTCCAGAGTCGAACGTTGTCGAATCGAATCGAGCCAAATCTCAATCGAGCTCAGTGAAACAGTTATCAGAAAAATTTCGAAAAATTAATTCGCGTAAAATATTTTCGAAAAAAAATCAAAAAACAACAACAACACAATTTTTAAGTGGCAAAGTTAATAAAAATTTAGAAATTAAAAACCCAAAACAAAACGCAGCACATTTCTTGGATTAAGTGCCACAAAGTTCCTGTTAGCAGCAGCAACACATCAACCACTTGGATTACTACAAACAACAGTATTATCACTTAAAACTAGCACAAAAATCGACAAAAAAAATATAAAAAATCATTTTTTAATTAAACTACAACAATTTGCTAGGCAACCAAAAAAACAAAAAAAATAAAACAACAACAAACTTGTGCAACATCCCAAAACAAATGTGAAAGCGTGACAAACAAACAAACAAAAAATATACGAAAAACAAATGAGCAAAAAGTGAACAAAAAAGTGAAAAGTACGAAAGAGTGAGTGTTTGAAAATGCTGCAGTGAACCATTTTTGAGAAAACAAAAACCACAACAAACAAAACAAAAAAAAACACCAATCAACAAAATATAAGTCCACAACATCAGCAGCAACAACACAGAGAGACAAGTGTTGTTGTCCCATGTATTTGTTGATGCCATGCAATTGATTGTTGACAAAATTCCCATGTATTCCAAACAAACAACGAAGCGCAATTCCAAAAAGTAAGTTTCAAGAACCTCTACCAAAAAAAAAAAAGAAAACTGCACAACAAACAAACAAACAGTGAAAAGTGTCCAAACCAAAGCAAACAAACAAACAAGCAAGCGGAAAGGAAAAACCCTTCCAGTGAACTGATAAACTGATAACAGCGCCAATAGAGACAGCAACAAGCCGGAGGAAAAGAGATAGCCTTCCACAGCTGCTGCTGTCGCTTCTTCTTCTTCTTCACGTGGTGCACCTGTCCCACCCAAAAAAAAAATTAAATAAAACAACAAACATCTTTAACAACAACTACGAACTACAACAATTAACACACCACGCGCTGTTGCCATAAAACCCAAAAGAAAAAGAAAACTTAGGTAAAATATCTAAAAATAAATTCCACTTAAACCAAACAGAAACCAAAAAAAAAAAAAGAACGATAAAAAATCACAGCAAACGAGCCAAAAGAATTTTTCAACTTCAACTTTTCTTCAAGTCTGTGTGCCTCTCATTTTGACAGTCAATAAAATTTGACTAGCTAAAAATAATCACCCACCTGGCTAAAAATAAAAACAGTTTATAAACACAAAGTACAAAGATTCTTTATGGCCATCAACAATTTTATATTTGTTCTCCACTAGAAACTTTTAATTGTTGTGCTTGTATATCAAAGTTAAAAACAATCAAAATAATTAAATGGAATGTGCTTTTGTTTTTAGATATTTTATGTAAATTTTTTTGTGTCTTTTTCATTTGTTTGTTTGTTGTTTGAAACATATTTACATATAAGTTATAATAATAGTTTATAATGGTAGTTAAATTAGCTTGTAAGAATTGAGCAAGAAAAAGTTACAAATTTTCAAGGGTTCTAGTGTTTCAGTTTTTGGTAATATTTTATAGTTCCCCTAAAAGGTGTCAACAAATATTTAATTCATTTTATTTTCCATCAACAAGTTTGATATTTACATTTTTGGCCCATTTAATTCAATAATAAATAAATAACATAAATAAATTTTTAATTATCAAGCAAGTTGTCCAAATATATCATAAAAATATAGTTTCGGAAGAAATTATAAAAAGATTATTCCAATTTTAATGACTTTAATTAGTCACCATAAACGTTATTTGGGCATTAAAATATCAAAACAAATCATTTTCTGGGCAGAAATATTTTAATAGGATTTTATTGTTGTAAAAATATTGGCAGAATTGATTTTACTCTTTCAACTCAAAAAAACTTAAAAACTTGACATAAATAAAAAACATTTCCTTAAGAAACTATCTACCTAATTAACTTCAGCTAAATGTTTATTCTCAACATATCATTCACCAGCATTTTCTGAAAAAGTATCTTCTCCACTCAAAATTAAATTCTATAAAACACAAAAAAGAAAACACCCTCATTGCCGGGGAAAACCCATCCAGACACTTTAAAATGCCAGCCGACAGATTAATTTTGACCGAATTCCCACATCAGCTGTTAGTTAGACCGCCTCCCAATGCCGCCCCCTCGATTAATGCTCTCTCGCTCTCACGCACAGCTGACCCATAATTGACACGCACACAGCCAGACACAGAACGACCAAACGAACACACAGATACACTCGGAAAGTATCTGAGAGGAGAAGCCAAGAAAGCATTTAGTTTCAGACCGAAAAGAAAACACACATATCGACCTACTGCTGTTGCTTTGTTTTACGTACGCAGAATAGGTATTTGAGGCCGGAGTTTTCCTTTTCCATTGAATCGTTCTCGAGAAGTGGATGTGGAAGTAGGGAATATCGATACCGAGAAAGAAATTTTCCCAACGATCCGCTTCGTTTGCCCGAGCAGCAGAACAACTGAACAACCGAAAACAACAACCGCTCAAGTCTGTCACTTATTTCTCAGTTCGACAATGTTTTCGCCCATTTCTCGTGTGTATTCGTGTGTTTGTTGCCTCTTCTGTTTCTGTTTCTTTTGTGGCAAGACGTTGAAGGGGGAACCCAAAAAAAAAAGGTCACTCCAAGCGAGGCGACCTCTCCCCACTACAGTTTTCCCTTACCATTTTCCCTCCCGTACGAGTATCTCGTTTGCCGTTTTTCTCACATGCCACGCATTTTTTCCCCCAGCCAAACTCCCCCTCTCATTTCCCTGCCCAGACAATGGAAAACTCTCGGCAGACATTTTTTCGGTTCGCTTGTAATTCATCATCGCTGCAAAGAAGATGAAAGCAAAGAAAAAGGTATGGGGCTTACAGTAAGAAAAAGAAAAATGCCGACAACAGGTAAACCTTAACCCATTTGCAATAGTCGCAGCTCTTAACCCAAAGAAACAGGTAGTTGCACTCGCTTTTGGGCAGCTGGGAGTTCCCAAGAACTGGGAAACCTTTTTGCCTGCAAGCATCATTCTTCTCGATTGGTGGAAAATCATCTAGAGTATGCGAATGAGATGGGAATCAACCTTCTTAGAAGATAAGAAGGAAACATCATTCAGCAAAAAGGTGTTTCCGTTGAAGGGAAATTTTAGGAAGGTTTCTAAGTCATTCAGAAAGGGCCTTACAAATATTAATTTCTGTACAATAACAAGGAATTTTTATAAATTATTTATATTTTTACTGATGTTAATTTATAGTAACTGATAGTCCCAGAAAAACAAGATATAAACTTAGACTTTCGTAACTAAAAGAAAGAATTTTGCGCAGCTTTGAAACAGTTTAAAATTCCGGTTTAGCAGATCAATCCAACGGTTAATTAACGCCCTGGGCTTATCGTAAACACCCTCTAATGCCATCAACCCACCACCGCCCCACACCTTGAAAACCTTAAACAGAAGCTGCGAAAGCGCGAGACAATCATCAATCAACCACCGAGGCAACCAAATCACAACCCATCAAGCAACCACCGAAAGGACTTGAGAAAGATTGCTACCTACTAAAAAGGGGAATCCCTCCTCTGCTCTTCTTCTTTCCACTCCTGGCCACTTCCTGTTTCCCTTCAACCGCTTTGCGATTTTCACACGGGAAATAAAAATGTGATACAAACGAGTAAATGACAGAAAAACAAAACCTAAACGCGGAAAACCATTTGCAAATAGCGAAATAGCAGAAAGGGCAGCAACAACAACCCTCACCGGCTGAGGAGGGATAGCGCCCGGAATTCTCGGTGATTAAAACCCCGAAAGAAACAAACAGAAACATACACGGAACATTTAGAGAGAGTGGAGGAGCGTCCGATATTAATAAACCCATCAGACAGGGGGCTGGAAACTGAGCAACCCCCGTAACGAAATCCACACTCGAGGGCGCAACAATAGTTACATGTGTAAGCCGTAGCCACCCCTAAAAATAATCGAGACGACTTTAACCCCGCCATCAAACCCGATTGAAGGTCACACATGTGACGAGAGTGTGAGAGAGCGCCCAACTCTAGTGCATATCTAATCACAAAATTTGAATTTGATTGGGCATTAATGGGTTAAACAGTTGACTCTTGACTCTCGCCTGTGGCTCTTTAAGGCACCTTGAAGAGTCTCACACTCTACCACTCCATTCAGAGTTCGTTTAGTCACATGATAAAAGTTCCCAAAACGCAACGAATACCGAACGAAAACATTTAACGACCCAATTAAAAGCCCCTGAACGAACCTGATATCAAACTAGACCGTACCGAAACCCATACATTCGCATAGATATAGTAAAATATATGCTTAGCAGCCACAACAACCTCACAGATAACTGCCAGCCCCACGAGAACCACCAAAAAATAACACACACCATACTATCACAATCGATGGGCACAGAACGTACTGTAGCCCAAATCAAAGGTAACCAACTCTTATCACCGTTTTGTGGGGTGAACTGACAAGCTAATTATACCCGCAGATCGTACTATATCTATATAGAAAAACAGAAACCAAACTATCTTTGTTCTCTTTGTTTTTATTTCGTTTTTTTTTTTGTGAAAAAGAACAACTGGAACAATGGAAATTTTCAGTTAGTGAATGGCTCTACCTGTAGACTTCCATCTGCTTCGGTTTGCTCTTGTTTTGACCGACATTAAATCGCGCTTAGGTATGCAGAAATATTTCAGTTATCGATAATTGCTTATCGCTGTTTATGGCCAGGTAGTACCTTCATATAGTACGCCACTCTCGCGGCATTTAGCATTCTTGGCAAAATGGTCGTCGGGTTTTTGTGAATGGAACGTAATCAAGGTGTGCGGCGGGTGAAAAGTGATTGTGGGGAACAATTGATTAGTGAGTGCAAATAAATATTTAAAACCATATGTTAACTCATCCAACTGATTAATATACAATCTTCAATTTTCCAGAACAATCGAACCAAGCAAGTGCATTAGATAATTTTGATAGCCAAATCAGAGTATGCGATTAGATCGCTAACTTTCCAATCAAGTTAAAAAGTAATTCGATTTATTTTTAGCTGCGTAAAAGGTTGTAAATATTTGTAGGAACTTCTTTATAAACACTTTATTCATGGAATATTTCAAGTAAATAAGTTAAAGATTTATATCAGGTGGCGCCACCTGCTGGCTGTGACTCGTGAGCACAGGGCCTCTCTACGCGCTTCTCAACATATCAACTAAGTACGGGTTCGCTTATCAATCGCCACGCTTCCTGTCCCATATTTCCCGTATCTTTTCTGTCTAACCTTTAACGATGGCAAGTATTTTTAGCTAAAAATTTTCTTGTACACATTTTGTTGAGTTTATTTTGGTTGATGTTGTTGTTGTTTTTGCGGCTGTTATTTAGCTGTACTTCAGTAGACATTTTTGTTCGAAACTGGTTTTCAAGTACGACGCTCGCGTCGCTGCCAACGTCTCGGTTGGCGATTTATGCGTTGGGCTTTGACTCGCTTCAAGTTTTGCTGGCTGTTGCAATTTTCGTTTTGTTTTGTTTTATTTTTAATGTGATTTATGCATGTTCCTCCGATGTGTGAGTGTGCAAAAATACTTGAACAAAATTATTGCAGCTTCTTTTTGTTTCGTTCATTTATTTTTGTGGATATTTCGCTGGTTGTTGTTGCTGTTTTCGAGTGTTGACAGTCGCAGCCTTCGATTTATTTTTAATGTTTATGTCTGTCCGATTGTTTATGATTTTCGTTGGGTTTTTTCTTACTTAATTGGCGATTAGATAAATGCCAAAAACGCAACGACGCCGATGACAATGGAATAGATCGCACTGAGTACTAAATCCCCGCCATCCTCAGCTCAAAACCCCTCTCGAATTTTGGTTGTGCTTTTTTTTCTTTGCCCCCGTTGACTGGCATAAATTTAGTTTGAGCAAAACGCGATAGATAAGATAACCAAAGCAAAACCAGACCCGCCAGCAAATCGAACCCAAAACATCAGATCCCCAAACCAAACCAAAAAAAAAAGTG